GGTCTTGTGTCTGGTCTTGTGCATGGTCTTATGTCTGGTCTCATGCATGGTCTTGTGTCTGGTCTTGTGCATGGTCTTGTGTCTGGTCTTGTGCATGGTCTTGTGTCTGGTCATTTGTCTGGTCGTACATGTATGTCTGGTCTTGTGTCTGGTCTTGTGCATGGTCTTAAGCATGGCCTTGTGTCCGGTCTTGTGATGGCCTCGACTACAACACTGGTCAACAGGGTTATAGTTGATCCCGTCATAAGTATCTGTAAGTTATCACAAGTCATTCAGTCTGATGCCAAGTCTCAAGCTCATCAAGGGAACTTTGACAAAATAACAGCATTCCTATGTTATTGTTCACGCTGTTACTGGTCTTGTCAAAGGTTGGACTTGTGATGGACTCAATTCCAATATTTCTCTTAGCATGGTGCCCAGTAGGTTGTTGGACAAGGTGCAATAAAGATAGCTGTTGAATGTTATGCTTGCCGACTGTTTCAATTTAATTTATATAACAGGTTTTGCCCTTACCCAACGTATATATTAATAAACACTGTATGCTCAGTGCTTGTGCGAAAGCTTGCGAAAAAAGTCACAAGCTTACTTGGGTGGAACTCAAACCCACGACCTCCTGCTTACTAGTGCAGATGTCTTAACCACTCAACCACCAAGCTTGCCGGGGTCGGCTGGCCGGTCCGAGTCAGGTGAAGCAGCGGGTACCGCGAACTATTTTCAAGATGTATTTTTTTTTGCGTTGGGGAGATGTTAACGGGTTTTGCCCTTACCTGCCAGCCGACCCCGGCAAGCTCGGTGGTCGAGTGGTTAAGAAGCTTGTGACTTTTTTCACAAGCTCTCGGAGAAACACTGAACATACAGTGTTTATTAATACATATGTTGGGTAAGGGCAAAACCGTTATATAAATTGACATCTCCCCAATGCAAAAATACATCTTGAAAATATTTCAGTTTAATTATAACCTTTCTGATTACATTGGAACCATTCCAGTTTCTGAGTTTCTAAAGGCCTCAAAATCAGAATATTCCAAGTTTTGGAAGAAAAACAAAAATTTGAAAAAGGTCCTACATGCAGCACTCTGTGTTGGAAGTTTGCTTGCCTAAATAAACCTGTAGATTCCTAGAGCATGGTGATCTTTAAAAACGGTGAAGAATAGAGGGCCTACATATGACGTACATGCAACGTTAGAGGGCATTTCTTTCTTCCTCTAGGATAGGCTCAAGTAAACCTTTTGTGCATTCATTGTCATTAAATCTAAATAAAAAAATATATCCTCTGGGAGGGCACTCCATGCAGGCCCTCTATAGTGCACTGTACTACATACATGCTACCCATGGAATCAAGTTTGAAATCATTGCTGCACACAACAACTGTTTGATTTAGATAGATCCATTGTGCATACACAGGTGGCTTCATCATGCTTTTCAGGTCCATGCCCGCTTACTTAAACACACAGCCAATGAGTTTCACAGACTAAATGATCCCAGACTACGCTGATCACACAATCGATCAAAAAGTGGATCGGTGTAGTTAATAAAAAGCAGTAATGCACTTGACTCGCATTGCATGAGCACTTTGTGTTCCATTTTCTGAATTTTCATTGTTGGCAAGTATTCCTTTACATATCAGGTTTTGCTCACATTGGGCATTCCATTCATCATTTCAAGCTTCTCAAATAAAGTCCAAAGTACTGATTTTTTTACCATCTTTACCAGAGAGCTGCCCCCAAAAGCAGACTATTTATGCCGAAGTCTTGAGGAGGCACTGTCCATTATTGAAGGTCCTGAACTCAGAGATGTTGTGGAGAATGTCTGGATAATTGGAGGGTATGGGGCGTACAAGGTAGGAGAAAAGTCCCCCTGAAAGCAGGTAGATGTGTTTGTCATACTAACAGTGCTCAGTAGTGATTAAATCAGCATATACATGTAGGCCCCTCAGCCAAAATAATTCTGTAATGGACAGAACAGGATTTTTTCAAAGGTTTCCCAAACAGACAGGAAATGATGTAGAATGCACCTGTAGACTACATACTGAAAAGCACACGTTTCAGTGGTGAACAACCTTGTTAAGTCCATATTCTCATTACTTCAAGGGAAGGGGGTTGACATGCATATGCCTTGTGTACATGGAAGAGGGTAGTACCAATCAGACATTGTGCGCTGAATAAATTGACACAATGCACTTTCTCCTGTTGGCACTTATCAGGACCAGCTTTTCTACATCATAAATCATTCTAACACCTGATCTTACTCCCTGACACCCTCACAATTTGGGTCTTAGCATTACTGAAGTCATTAGTCTAACAATAAGTCACAGAGCAATAATGTACTGTGGGTGTATGTTTTGGGAAAGGTGAAACCCCTATGTATATCACGCTTACATGGGGGTCTTAAAGCCAAGATTCTGGATACGTGTTTTATGGGCAGCCTTCTACACTTTTATTCAGCTAAGGTTCATATTGTATCAAATTTCTGGAGTACCTTTTCCATTTTTTTTTGGCAATTTGAGCTACCAGTAGGCTGCATAGTTCTTCATTTTTATACAGGTGTATGTATTTTATCTTTGTGTCATCAGGCAGGGTTAGAGTCTCCTCAATGTCATCGTTACTACATTACAAGAGTCTACGGTGACTTTCAGTGTGATGCATTCTGTCCTGATGTGGATTTGACCAAATTCAAGCTTGTCAGGTAATTCAGGTGAATTCAACTTGAAGATGATAACAAATACTTTTGTCCAAAATCACATTTTAAGGACTAAATTCTAATTGTTGAGTTGTACTCAAGGAATGGAGAAGCAATTGAGCTTTATAAAGGATTTGGGAATTTAAATGTTAACATGGGACTACAGGATTGCTTTACTTTTATCTTGCAGTGATCCACATATCCACACTGAGGAACAGGAAGAGAATGGTATCAAGTTCAAATTTGAAGTTTATGAGAGGATTTAGTAACAGCTGCATCATTGATATGCTGAACCATTACAAGGGTGTTAGAATGAATTCTACCAATCAGTAATGTGCAGTGATTTTGACACCGTAATTTGTTGGTTTTAACGGGTATTCAGAAATACCTCAGTCTTCTTATTCAACCGTGCGCAATGTGACCATGTATTAACATTTGATAATGCCCACCAAGAAGTGATCATGCCTGCTGCAATGTGATAATGCCTTCTATGTAAAGCACTTGCTGGCGCCTGGATACAAGACAGTTTAATTGATTCTGATTGGTCAAGAGTGTGTGTGCACATGGCTCATCACGCAGGTGCTAAGTCCATATAAAGAAGTTCTTGTGGACTTCTTGCTCAAGGAATATACCATCAAATGGCCGGGAGTGTTATGGGAAATAAAAGTAATATTCTTGAACAAAATCTTGGGAATTTATTGTGTTGATTTCCTGTTACTCTCTGACTGAAATGGTTGAATGGTATTTATGAATGGTATTTATGAATGGTATTTATGAATGGTATTTATAAAGATGTGCTTGGTCGGATTTAAACTAATGTTTAAGGTAAGACCGGCTCAGGAGAATGGATGCAGCTAATGCCGTGTTGCAGCCATTCTCCTGAGCCGTGTGATACCATCCAAAGTAGAAACCTGTTTCTCCACAGTGTTAAAATTTGTGCTAATTTTGGATATTTTGCTGTCTTAAATATTGTTGACATCGGTGATTTGTTGTTGTGTCAGCTCATAACAGTAACCCGCTATGCAAAGTTTTCTGATTTCAGTGAACACAAAACCCATTGCAATGAATAATGTCTTTCTGTAATGACTTCACAGTAACAGCGCCCTCATTCATCAGGAAAAGCACAGAAAATGTTAAGTGAAACAAGTCTGCTTTACATTGAGCCAAAAAGAGATGCTTGGTACATGTTTTTCCCATTTAAGAGGAGTAGAACGATGCAGAAAACACCTTCTTAAGTAAAAACCACTGCTCAGACTGTTTAAGGCTGGAGCTTGAATGACTGAAATCAAAATTTCATTCCTAATTTATTTTCTTAACTTCAGGGCTATATCATGAAATGTGCCTTCAAGTCATGGAACTGGAACAATGTAAATTGATTGCACTAAAAGCTTACCTATTAATCCGATCGAGGAAAGGCAAAATTGTTTTTGTAGCAATTTACACATTGATCATAATTTTTACTCAATTTTCCAGCTTGGATGATATTTGCAACTTCTTCTTGTCTAATGCTAGTGGTAGAAAACACAAAGACCCCATTAGATTTTTAATTTAGCACATGCTATGATCACTGAGAGTAAGTAGTTGAAAATGTGACATTAAATAATTTGGTGCTTGTCTCTAATTTGTAGCTGTTTGGTGTCATAATGAAATCAAGAAGGAAAGAAGATTTTAAGCTGATTTGGGTAATAAAATGTTTTAACTCTGTGTGCGCATAAATGTTAATGAAAATCTCGGGTGTTTTCTGGTGTAAATGAATAGGAATTTGGTGGTTTTGTAAATAACTACGTGTTATTACATTTGTAATATCCTTCTGGCACTTTTAACCACAATGTACTTGTGTTTTGAGTTACAAGTTTACTGTTTTGTGGTTTGGTATTGTTTCAAGATTGTAATTTTGCTTGGAAATTTCTATTTTTCAATGGACAATTCTGTTTCTCGACCCTCATCGTTGATATCTGCCATTTTTCCGTCGAAATAAAACAAAGAAGATTGAACATTGAACTTATTAGACTTTGAAATTTTCATTTTTTGATTTTCTGCCTCCCAAAGGTAGAGTTTACTCGGGTTGTCAAAGGCCGTACTTTTCGATTTTGGACAGAAAGCAAGTTATTCCTAGGGCGGTGGCCGAAAAGTGGTCATATGCTATTCAGTTTTAGGAGATGAAGGAAGCCGGGGTTTGATAAAGATAAACAAGTAGAGGGTAATTGAGCAAATACATTTTTGAAAACGTTCAAGAAGTGTTTCTCAGTACTGCTATGAAAAAGCGGAATTAAAGGCGAAACTTTTGGCCGATAGAGGGCGTGTTTATTTCTTTCGATTGACGGCTGTTGCCAGTTCAGCATAAACAGAGAGCTTTCAGTGCAGTCATAGAAGAAGGACCCAAGATGAAATCAAGTCGTTTTTCAAATGTTAGCATGGGCAAGCCCAAAACAAGGTCAATGGCTGCACTGTGCAATGGTTCTGCGTACTTGCATGTGGGAGATGCGTCTTATAGAAACGTTTTAAAAGGACATGAAACAGCCGTAGGTCATATTTTTCGCGCCAAATGCAAAATCTCCTGGCCTTCCGAGCTAGTACCTCGCTGCATCAGTGCATGTACACTGTGTCTGATGCTAGATCAAAATGCAGAATATTCAGCAAATGGCTGTCCAGAAAAATTATAATTTGATCGTTGCTGCGTGCAGGTGTAAGGATTCTTTGGGAATAGGAATTAATGGTACAATCCCATGGAGATTGCGGTAAGTGAATGTGAATGAATGTAGACTCCAAAAAAGGCTAAGCCCCACTCTACTACTAGGCCTACTACATCATACATGTAGGCCTACTGAGTACTGTAACAATACATTGACATTAAAATGACAAGTTAATATACATGTAACAGAACTGTCCTATTCCATACCCAATCCCAGAATCCATGCATCCCAGCCAGTAGAGCATTCCATTCCACCCAAAGCCTAAACTTAAGGCCTAAGCTTGGCCTCGGCTGTTGTGTAATCATGGAGCACCATGCATGGTCAAATGAAGACTAGCGAGCAGCCTGGGCTAGTCAGTATGAGTATGACTTAGTATGAGTAGGCCCCTACGACTTAACTCAGTCACTTCCCACTTGACGTCAGCATGCAACTGTCAGTGTCACGCAGGCAGATCATACCACTGCACCAGTCAACATGTACACTGAACATGATCAGATGATGTACATGCCTTTTAGAACATGGACACGGCTGGTTGATGCCGGATGCTCAAATGGTAGAAAGTGTTCCGTATCTTGACATCACTTGATACCCTCTGCAATGAGACTTCTCTGAAAAGTTGTTTCTGAGTAAATAATTCAACATTTATTAAGTTATACCACCACCGACAGATCGATTGCGCAAGAGATGTCCCCTGATCTAGTGGATGGTGTGTTCAAGAAAGAATTCCATATAGCCTATGGATGCTTGACACCCTGTGCAAGAACCCGATGACACTAGTCTAAAAAATTCTATGCTTTCTTATCTCAATATTTTTACTGCTTAATTTGGCTTTGAGAACATTTTATATCGTATTCAGATGGCTAATGCAATATAGCCTAGCTTACAGCTGGGAAAATTAGTGGCATCCATATGGACTTTTTCCTCCAAAAAACAAGAATATTCTTCTGTTGTTACATCCTATTTATGTTTACTCCAACATTTAATTCACAGAGTATTAACATGTTCTTTTTCAGATTCATGGTTTGGGCAGACTTTTGTACAGGGGGAAACAAGCCCAAATTGTAAAGTGGTTCGATTCTTGTCGTACATTAAACTGCAGGATATATTACTCGTTGGTGATTTGGGGCTTTGGAGGATTTTTTCCAAGAAAAATATAGTCTGAAATTGCACTGTGTCTGAATTCCATCTCATGACCATAAATTCATGGTGGCAAATTAATTAAGGATGGAACCAAATGAAGATTTATCACTGTAAATTTCTGTCTTTCAAAACATGCGCTGCGCACATACGGTTGCTGTGCCAGTGAAAAAAGCAAGACATAAATACATGTATGTGTACGTGTAACAGGACCAGTTCAGAGTCCAATATCCCGTGCAACTTTTAAACTTTCTGTGGTCATCCATTGTTTTAGATATGCTGTCTTTTATGCACTAAAACTTGATTCAGAACTCTTCCTGTGCCTGAATTCTGAATATGGAGCTATTGACAGGTCCTTGACCTGTCGAAGTACTGTCTAAGTCTTCAAGTTTTGTACTCGACTATTTTAACATTGGTTCAGGAATTGTTTGAGAAAGGCTCTGCAGTTGCTCTGTAATTGTTGAAATTATTTTGATGTTCCAGAAGTATTTTAGCACACTTAGGATTCATTAGATCTTGATTTGAAATGTACGTGTATGTGTGTTGTAAAAATTGTTGAGTGTACTCTGGGATACAATTAACGTTTGGTGGGCAAACAAGACTTTAAGAATAGTTTAGTTTAGGTTTAAGAACATTTAAAGGCAACATTTTCACCAAGTAAAAATGTCATATCTCCACATGTCCACTTTGCAGGACTGATTTGAAGTTCTTCAGTGCCCAAACTTCAAAAACAACTGAGAGTGACAAAAAGAATGCTGTCATTATGGGTCGTAAAACATGGCTGTCTATCCCAGGAAAGTTCCGACCACTTCCTAACAGAGTTAACGTTGTCCTCAGCAAAACACTAAGGTAATGAAGCAAACAGATTTAGTATCTAGTATAACAAGTAAACTAACCATGCTGAACCCAACTAAGTTATGCAGTTAATACACATGCCTAGCAATGAAACCAGCAAGTGATATTGCCTACAAGGCTACAAGTTTTTCTATTTTTTTTTCAAAACATAGATTTTGCTTCTGCTTGTGTGGCAATTTGTTACAACTGAATGCATGTGTTTGAATATTCAGTGGAATGGAAGGTCAAATATATCAATATTTAGTTTTTCAAATGGAGTTGTTTTTTTTCATTTGTGTTGAGTTGAAAATGCGCAATAATAGGTCAAACTGATCATAAATTAATTTAAGTGATCAGCCATCTTCCAAGTAAAAAGTTTGTTGATCTTTCCACTAAATACTTTGTCACATGTAACATTTTTGTGTTTTTTTCATTTAGTGAATGCCCAGCAGATGCTGATCATCTTTGCCACAGCCTTGATCAAGCTATCAACCTTCTTTCTGAGCCTCCCATTGCCAATGGCATTGATGCTATTTGGATTATTGGTGGAAGCTCTGTTTACAAGGTAGAGACCTTTTATTGTGACTTGTTTTGTTTACTTGCACCAAGTTTAGGCCTGCATACCAGAATTGTGTTGAACTCAATCATTTTCGTGATTTTGAATTAAGCACTTCAACATTTGAAACAACTGGGAATTACCACCCACACTTGCTGTTTAATACTTAAAAACTTTGTAATGCCTCGGTTTCAAACAGCACTTTTTTCAAAAGCTGAACTTAATGCAAATTTATGTAAATGTATGGTCATTAGGAAGTTGAGGTTTAAAATCTCACAATCCACCTGCAATCTTGGAATTGTGGACATCATGGCAAGTGTAGGCATGTATGTATGTATGTATACATACCCTGTGAACGATGTGGATGATGTACATGGAATTATACAATTTTTGGCAAAATCCTGATACATTTTTTATTCAAATTAGTTGATATAACGAGGTGATGTATTTACGTAAATACTATCTATCTTCATCCTTTCTCCTTTTGTCCGTATTGCACACAAATTCTTTGATTTGAACTGCTTGCCAATGTTTATTTAATGTCTGTCACACTACTTGTATTGTTTCATCATTATAGCTTTGCTTGGTGGTAACGTTAACTAAAATGTAGGGATAAAATAAATACTTTTAATCGATAAGACCTTGAGGCAAAATTGAGCTGTTGCCTTTTGAATGGGAAGGTTTTTCTAGACTTTTATTTATTTTGGAACAGGAAGCCATGGAGTCAAGCCTGTGTCATCGTATCTATCTGACACGCATCCATGCAGAGTTTGAGTGTGATACGTTCATCTCAGAGATTGACACCTCCAAATTTCAACAAGTCCAGTGAGTGACAACAAAATGACTTACAATGCCTGTTACATCCTTACTTTTGAATCCGCCCCTTTATTTTCCCACCTCAATACCCTACAACCTTTTACGTACTCATAGCCTTGTGTGAAATTATGACCTGTTCTTGTATTTGTTAATTAATATTTGGTGAGTTTCATGTAAAGGAAAAGGAACTCTTTTTTGTCACTTGTTTGTACTTTAACTAAATTGTGTCTTCTGTGTCAATAACTTTTATCAGGGTAAGGGCATGAAACTTCTTTGCAATTTTTTGAATGTTCTGTTGCAGAACAATGTCCATCATAGAAAAAAGTGTGGGGTTTTGTAGCATTTCCAAAACTGTATTCAATATGTTCCAACTTCTCTCTTTGCCAGCTTTGCAAGGTTACTAATTGTTCTTTTTTTTATTTCTGCAGTGATCCAGAAGTAAACAGTGAACGACAGAAAGAAAACAACATTGAATTCAACTTTGAAATTTACCAGAATGTTCAACACACATCAACCTTATGAATGCATCTCGCTGTAAGATTGAAATCAGGTCTGAGACATTGTCTTTATTCACATAGAATTTTGACCTGTGCTTTTCTAGGAAATAAGATGCATTCATATATCCTCCCCCAAATTACATAGAAAGCAAAGCAGATAATACAGTGGAAGACCTTGCGACATTGCTTTCCTATTATTTACACTTACCCAAGTAAAAAAGCTGAAATATGTAGGATTGAGTCAATTCGAATAATTCAAATATAGTTCAAATATTTAACTTTCAATGTTCAATCTTCCCGACCGGAGGTTGTTGATGATAGAGTTGCAGAATGAGGTCATGTAAGATGCTATAGCAATTTGTTTCCAATATGAAGACACGTCCAGCATGCGTCAAGGGGTTTTGGCTCCTAATCTAAAGATTTGGCTCATTGTTATATGGCTCTGCATGGTGTAGCGAACACATTTCAAGCCCAATTGAAAACAGTTTAAACTCAAAGTTCAGTGCTTAGTAACATGCAAGCCTACATTACAGGTGTTTTTCAGACAAATAATAAATTATTGTCTTGACCTTAGTCTTTCTGTTTCTTTTCAATTTTTGGTGTGTTAGCCAATTAGGCTTTTAATAATTCAAGCAAAACCAACTCACCCCTCGAAAAGTGATAGTTTCCTAGTTTGCTTACAACCATTTTTGAAGTGGCCCCCTCTACGTTCTGGGGCACCCTTTTCCATAGGTAATTTTATCAACTCTGCCCTCGGATGGAAGCTCCCAAACCCAGGGAATAGATGCTGGCCCACCTTTCCACAATCCTCCCATTGGTTACGGCCAAGAAATCTCCTTTTTCAAAAAAATGTTGGGGCTTTTTTTATGCTTAAGTTAAGCAGAAATTTTCGCTTGAATTAGTTCACTGCATGCTCCTGCTGCTACACATGCTTCTGGCGCCCTCATGTTTGTATTCATGCTTTGTTCTTTGTACATGAACGTTCGTGTACATATACGTATAGCTATGTCAGATTATGGCAGGACTGTTCGTCTTTGTGGATGCTAGATTCAGACATGATCTTGTATGCACTTCTGAATCCTTCGGTCATTTCTTAGTCAACAGCTTCAACACTAGTTGTGGCAGTAGATTCCTGGGTCAAGGACATTCGGGGAGATTATGACATTCAGTAGAGTACGCAGTAGAGGAATTTCACAAAATGGGGTGCACAATAAGACTAGGTGAGGTTTCCTACCTTGGAGGTTTCCCATCACATGCAAATGTAAGGAGTTCATGTACTAGAACTGTTTGTCAAGGTCATCAATATAGTTTAAGGTCAGTTTTGCTGAATACATGTAGTGCTACATGCAAGGAAAGTTATGATTTTGAAAGGCATTTGAACACTTTTGAGTAGACCTTTATTATACACTGCCAGAAATAACAAATGGAAATGTTCAGTGTTAACAATTTGAAATTCTTATGTAGTATTCTTTAATATTTTGCCTTCAGTGCATCACTTTATGCTAATACTTTTTGCTAATAATTCATACTTTGCACTTTAAACAAATGACTTGTTACTCTAACGTCAATTGCGTCACTTTTGACTCTCGTTTTGTATAAATGGTGCTTCTGGGGAAAAAGGTTTTATAAACATAATTTACTTGTGTTTATAACACAGGCTCCAATATTGCATCGATTATGTACACAAAATTTCATGAATAAGTCTCGTTCATCTGTAGTAGTGGACACTTTTAGAGTGAGAAAAAGCCAAACTTTATGATTTGAATCACTCTTTTTAATGGTGTAAGTTTCACATTTGTAAAGGAAATACATTTTCATCGAAGAAAGATCCAAAATAAAGTTTATTGGAAAGAATCTTTTGCTGTTGTAATGCTTTGTGTTTGGTTTTTTGACTCATCCATATCTAATTTAATATAATTTAAACTTTATTTACAGATTAATTTAAAGGTCCTTAATTTCATTCTATTTGTAAAAGGGGTTAAGCCCAGTTCTAAATTCATAAATAACTGGCATATGGAATATTCGAAAAGTCTTCAATAATGCGTCGGGATAAAATAATTACCCAACATGTCAACAGCTGTAAGCCAGCCATTTAAATACAAGAAATACAAAATATGATTCATAATTTTAATTTCAGTCTTACTGACATCGTCTGGTGAATTTAAAGTCTGCAATTTTCCCAAGTTAAGAATTTTTAAATTATTGTAAAATTTATAATTTGGACTTCTTCAACAAAAATCAACCTCCGACTGCTCAAATCTGAGCATACTTGTCCAGTTTCATTTTCCATCGATTGCAGTGATCAAATCACCGTTTATGGAGCTCTAATGACAAGTTATCATCTGAAAAGGTAGGAAGGAACTGACGATGATGGTTTGCCTTCCCATGAGAGTCTCGTCCTTGACTCCACGTTCTTATTTGGTGTGACTATATGTACCACTGGTACTTGGCCATGAGCGTGGGAGCTACGGCTATTGGCTGATGGTGCCCAGCTATTAGGAGGGCTCTGTGAGAGCCCCATACTTGAATGGTGAATTGCATTCATCCTGACCACGGGCTTTGAACCCATTGAGACTTTGTTAGGGACGCTGCCTCTTCGTCTGACGGAGGCGGGGCTTTGACTGGGCGAATCAACAAATGGAAGCTTCAGACGAGGGTTGTGCAATTTACTGGGTGAGACTGGTGGGTGGGGAAGACGCGAAGGACTAGGGGTGCTCCGTCGGCTAAGGATAGGGCTATTAGACGGGGATGGGCGATGTGGAACACGTAGGTGGTTGTCTTGGCTGGAGCTCTTGGACAGAGGATTGGATCGGGTACTTGTTAATTTGATGTCCTGGTCTAAATCTTCTTCGCGGAGGTCTGGTAAGGACAGAGATATCTTTCGCTGTCGGGGTTTCTCAGTATCAGCGCTCAGCTCGTCTTCTTCTTGACGCTGCTCAGCGACGCGACTCAACCCATACTTGGCCACCTGAAACACGGTGCTGTTCAGCTGCTGCAAGTGTTCTTGGTGGAGAGTGGCTGTAACAGCTTTACTGCGCTGCTTCAGTTTCCCATCTCTATGCTCAATGACGAAGGTGTTTCCGGAGTCCTCCTGCTGCCAGCCTGTGGTGGGATAAAATGAGGCACGCTTCATGAGTTCACACAGAGAGCTGCGCCCCATGGCTTCCCGTTTCTTTCTCGCTTGGAGTTTCCTCTGCGCGATGGGAGAAAGTAGGAGAATGTCTGGGGTGGAAAGCCGGCGGCTTGCAATTGCGTAGTCCTGAGCCGTGTTGAAGGTATCTCCATCCCGTGCGTTGACGTCTGCATTACCTATCGTAACTAAACGGCGACAGATGTCCGCATGACCTCCTCTCGCAGCCTCAATTAGGGGAGTTACACCTGCATGATTAGAAATAAGCAGATCGAGTTTTTAATGGAAATATAACTGAACTTTATGTCAGAATACCGATACTGCGGTTTAAAAAATTGGTTGATGGAATTTGAACACAACTCTTGTTTTCAGTCATAATTTTACACATGGCTCTTCCTTGATTTGCCATCAATTAAACTAATGATTTCTATGAAACAAAAGTAAAATTGGCCTAAATTTCCACCAAGAATTCTCATCAAAAATATGGATTTTTGTTGGCATATACGGGTACGACATAACAGAATAGTTGACATTATATTTCTTCCACCCACCTTGATTATTTGATTGGTCCACTTGAAGTCCACATCTCACGAAGTGTGTCAGCAGCGTAGCGACCAAATCATCCTGTCCAGCTCGGCAGGCATGCAGTAGGGGCGTGTCTCCCTCTCGATCTGCAATGTTGGGATCGACATCAGCCTCTTCAGCGAGGAGTTTTAACATGGTCGTGTCGCCCATCATACAGGCGTGAGCCAGTGCTGTCATGCCTTCTGAGTCCTTGGCGTTCACGTCTAACTGCTGTTTGTCCAAAAGGATCTTGGCTAGGTCTCGTCGATTTCTGGGTGGCATGTCCAAGCGGCAGACACGCATGAGGAGGGTCTGAAGGTCGTGCTCTGGGTCCCGGCTGCCGAAGTGAATTCCCGGGACTGTCAGGGCCGACTTGATACGGGTGAAGCTATTGGTGCGCATGACGTTGAGTAAGTTCTTGGTGGGGTCCGTCATAACGTCTCGATAATCCTTAACGGACATTGCTGTGGTAGAAGTTGGTACCAAAGTCCTCATATCTTGTCTCTAAATTAGTTTGTCTTCCTTCAGAATTCACAACGCAGGGCAATATTTGACAGGTGTTGCAGAGTCTTCAGTTGAAATCAAGTTATTGGTGACTTAAGCCTTTATATTTAGTAAGGGTTTCATAACCCGAAGCTAAATGGTTTAGTTTGGTAAGTCAGTTGCATCAGCAGACTGGCTAACGAAAGAAATCAATAATTCATCGCTCTGGCTGAATGTTGTTGATCACATTCAATGAATCATCGTTTCTTGTAGGCTCTGAAAGGAAATGGATATAGAGAAATAACCAGTCAACGTTTCATCACTGTATTACCAATCGCTCTGACATGAACATAGAAGTTGAAACTGGCATCAAACATGCTCAGATGTACTAGTGACAGTGTCCAACGCTAAAATGGTAGGCCTAAACATAAAATCAATGATTAGGGTATGAATTGGAACTTTGCCAAACTATAGGAGGTCTCTTTTCGTTTCCGCTAGCACCATGGTCAACGGCGCAACAGTAGCGGTCTAGACACGGTTGGGTGAACAACGCTTCCTGAACCTTCGTAACAACCCAAAAATAGAAACAGCGATCACATGCACGGGACTTGGCATGAAAAGTTTCAGTACAATATCGACCCCCTCTAGAAAAGAATACAATGTATTTTGTCGTGGTTTATGAAATCCAACTAACATGCATGATCGGAAGAGAAAGTCCCATCTGTAAAGTCGTTTTTAACTTTGGGCCTTATCCTGTCCACATTTAGGGTGCTAACGTATAGAAAAGTAGTATACGATTTCGTTTTCTGGCCTATCAAAAATTAGTCTTTCTTGTAAACTGGACTGTTTCAGAGGTTTTACGTTAACTCCCTTTTTGAGCGTAATTTCCTGGATGAAAGAACGGTAATTTCTGAAGTATCAGCAAGCTTTGTGTAGTCTATAACAAGTGTTGAGGACGGTTTATTGTACGCACAGGTTACTGTTTCAGCGTTTCCATGTTGTGAATGTGTGATACGATCGAAACGACTGAATAGAGCCTGAAGCTGATCTTCATGTATTTTAGATTTTCGGAAGCGATGGGTCAATTTTTGGCAGAATATTTCTCCGGGCTTTCAGGTGATTTTTCAGTTTCTGTAAGTTGATATACTAGCAAATATTTCCCAAAGCCCTTTAAGAAGTAACTGAACGAAAAATATTACAAATTCTAAAATCTTTGCACGTTATTTTTCCTATGCAAGGGTTCCGGAGGCGCTCCATCAGGGGTCAACGTTCAGGTTCTATTAGTAAGGCACGTATAGTTGAAGTGCACTTAATGCACCCTGTACAATATATGAACTGCTAATCCTTGTATTAACTTTATGCCAAGAAACAGTCAACAGTTATTGGATTTCTTGCAATGTAACTGTTTACTCGTAATGACGATGATTCAAAGGGCAAGCATGAGTTTCCGTGGCAATAGGCCAGTGAGGGGTGTTTGTTAACCACATGTACATGTATAGGGGGTTGTGCTGTGGTCTCAGTGTCCTCTGAGTTTGGAAATAATAAGGAACGTACATGTACTTCCTTCAGGAAACTTTGTCCTTTGCAATAAATGAGACAAACTTTGTCCTTCTATAAGTAATAAATTTAACCGATTTTCGAATCCGAAATTCGACACTTTTCGATGCTACAGTTCCACGCTGGGCGTAACAGTCTCTTTACAAACAGCTAGCAACGAACGGTATTGTGTTCAATTTATGAGTAAGCTTGCCTACCGCTGTAGTAACCATGATGTGGTTGATGAGCCTTAAATAATTGATTGCCACGTGACAAAGTAGCTGCTTATCTATTTATGAAGGCACCGTGTCCTTGGGATGTGGGCAAAACGAAAAGAGCAAGTACATGTACTTAAATCTTCTAGTTGTTGTGAATATGATTAATTTCAAAAATGAAAGTTTGTTCAAAAAATGCACACTTTTTTTCAGGACCTTGTTCGAGTCTTCCTTTTTCTACAGCCATTGAGTTTGTTCTACCACTGACGGACTTGCCCACAACTCTATTTTGACTGTAGTGTCCAGCATGCACCTTCGTTTGTTCTACCAGCATTAATGAAAAGAAATTGTTGCAGTGGCTAGCCTCAAGGGCCAAAGCCAGTAAGCCCGACCGACATTATTCACACACAATGTCCATCAGAGATCGAGTCAGTGGTACATGGTATTTGAGGGGCTATCGTAATAAACAAATGACAGACTACCAAAATAAAATTTGTAACAGGAAGCAGAGACATGCTGAATTACAAACATTACTGACAACAACAAATGGTTTACTTACGGTAGAAAACTTCAGTCAGTGCGTGATATCAGATCCTTTGTCCTGCATTTTGTGCGCGGCACGAGTGGTGTATCTTGAGGTGTGTCTTGTCTTGAAAGTTTTGGGTTCAATATGGATCAAGAAAGGTTTATATATAGACCGGGCATGGCTGGCAACAGGTCACGAGACACGAGGGTCGGTATTGCTCTTGCACAATGATGTTTTTGCCTTTTCTGTGCGCCCGGTAACAGACAAGCGATGTCATTAAACGGGGAGCACCAAGTCAATATCGGAGCATTGATTAATGATAATGACTTCAAAGAATCATCGCGTCTTCCCTATAATAACAATTGTCTCGATTGTGTCAACATCTTGAAAAGTCTGCGGGATACAGGACTGCAACGGGCAAAGTGCCAAGGTTTCAGGGTGTCTTGACGTCAGAGGATGTTTAATTTGGGATAAGCGTTACGCAACAGTGCAGCAGGATAATACTGTCAACCGTAGAGCTTGGAAACTCAATTCTTGGAAATTACCATAGCAAGTCACTGAGCAATAACTATCAGTGAGATTTCATTGCAGGTTACATTTTTTCATAGAAATGGCATTGTCCTTCTATTAAGGGACACCTTATAAATTAGATATTCCTTTCTTTAAAATTACGTTGCATCCTTTTTTTTTCTTTCTTATTTTATACCATATCAAGGATTTTCTTGCTTGTCTGAACTTTCTAAAAGAGGGGGCCATTCAATTCAGTTTAACTTTAATTTTTGTGAATAAATTATCTACTGGCTGTCTTCTTACAAATCCAAATGACATAGTTGAGTTTCTTGTTGAGCAAAGAAATCGCTTTCATATTTTAGCCCAATGTTTTCAGCGTACAAACAGAACTGTTTGTGGGGAATAAAGGTCAAACGAAGTGAGGACATTTGCACAGTTTTGTTTAACTGTATTTGCGCTAACTGTAAACGATAGAGCGGAGCTTTGCTTTTGACTTACAAAGTGACAAGAATTTGACCTCGGAGGGAAAAAAAATTCGTATTTACTAATTGCCAAATTTCCGGGATGATGTTGCTTCATAATACCAACCTCAGCGACAAAAATGGTCACAATAGTCCTATTACAGATTGGTCGACGATGAAATGGTTCCTAAATTAATGGATTGTTGTTATCAAAGCCGTTACATAAGATAATTGTGCAAAGAGAAGTGCTATGGGAAAGTTAACCTCAAACCTCATTAAAATGTTTCTAAGCGATATTTTTGTGTGTACAGTCAACTTTCTGGTAAATTTGACAGGAAACAGTTGCACGTCATGAACGTCAACTCCGCATGTTCGACTGTTTCACGTGCAGGTCAAACTTTGTTTTACTATCTTCTAGTCCAATCTGGCGGAGACAGGTTTGTAGACAAAACTTAAACCCAACCTCACTTCACCTATGTATATAATTTATCAAGACCCTGGATTTGAACAAAGGGGTGTTATTTTAAAACGAAAAAGATACTCTGGTCTTCAGCAAGAAATGTACCTGGGAAATTTTCCGGGAAGCGATTCGATCGATGAGGCGAAAATGATCGTCGGGTTCCAAGGATCGTCGACCCAAGGCCAACGAGTTATTCCTTACCAAACATGGTTGCACTGGAGGAGTATGCGGCAAGACTGTTAAAATGATAATAAACAGAAATGTTGATGTCCTGTGGAAACATTGGAAACAAGCTTGCGGAGAAACTTACGCTGTACTTACATGTACTTATAATTGGTTGCACTTTATAACTATTTATTTGTTAATTTAGGTTCTGTCACCAGTGGCGCACGGTGCGAGTGAGAACCTTTGCCACTGAAAAAGTTTATAGAAGTTGGGGAGTGAGTTAAGTAAGCAGATTTAGGGCCAGTGACCCTCATCCACGAAAAGAGAGAAATCTTTCATTTGCTGTTTGGTCACTTCTATTTTAAATGGTAGAAAAATTGGTTTCGAAAACCTCTTCAAATTGTAAAACTTGTTATAACTATACTTCAAGTCCTCTAGAGTTGGTATTAATTCAACAGTTTTTTAATCCACAAATGTCGGTGTAATGATTCATAGAACTACATCTTTGAGGTGACAGAGAAAAAAGTCTTCTTTCGTATGGGTAAGAACATTAGGCCCTTGTAGTTCAGACAATTGTGCCATTTTTGCTTCAGCTAGTTTTTTTCATGGCACTGGTTGGAGTAGTGGCGACTCCACGGAGGTCAGCTCTTTATCAGGGGGCTGAAGTTGTCGACTTCCGCGTGGTGAACCCAAATCAGTGGCGTATCCAGCTTATGGTGTCGGGGGTGATTTCTTTCCTCCTCACCTATGAAGTATTTTTAGTTGAAAACCATAACTTTTTTAATCCGTCAGGGGGCAAGTTGACCCCCCCCCTTTGGTGACAACCTGGCGAACAACAACCTGAGTATATAAACAGCAGGAAAATAGAAGAGGGCAAACTGTCATGAGTGTCAAACGTCTTGTTTGGAAAGGTTGGATTCACTGATAAAAATAGCATTAAAAAGCTTCAGTGTGAAAGAGTTTCGATTGCAGACCGTCGCTCGTGAATAATTTAGTAAGACTGTTGATTTTGAACAAAATAATGTTATTTAAGAACCGTGTTTATCTTGGTCATGATGAAAGAAACGTCCCCGGAGAATATTCTGGGAAGCAATCAATACTTGGACTGAAATTTCTAGGTCCCGATTATCGATCGAAGAGGAAGCCAGAAGGGGACGGTATAGTCAAGCCGGATAAACACACACATAAAACAACTTAAATCCAGAACAAAATGGTACACTGGAAAACCAAAGTTTTGTTTATGTTGATATTAGTCTGATTAGATCCTCTCTTTTTCTGTGATACAGTCTTATTTTTTGTCTTCCATACCAGTGACTGGTACTAAAACTATGGCAGGCCGCCAGTACAAAAGCAAAACATGCCTAATTCACAAAATACCAACTATACCACAAGAAGAAAACTCGTCTCCTTTAAAGAACAGGGTCAAATGAACACTTTGAGCAAATATAATGTTTCACCAACGAAGGCTGATATTTCTGCACAAGGGCCAAATTACGCAGATCATTCACCTGCGCTTTTATTTCAGAATGTTTGTGACTTGTACGGCTAACAGCTGGTTTATACTGATCACCTGTAAACAGTAACGTTTGCTGGTGTTAGCATTTATTAAAAGGAATATGATTTAGGACTGGAAGTGGTTGGATGGACACGGACGAATCCTTTAGGTAAATTAAAGGGTATGCGGACGTTGCCTTTCCCCATAAGTAACACTCTCACTAGGCTTATTGCCCCGTTTAAATGATATGTTCTTTGAATTTCAGAAAGTATGCCAGTCTCAAAAACCAACTTTTATTGTCAAAATTCGGTCACATTGATCCATAATTGCAGTTGATGGTTCTTATTTTCAATGAAAGTGCATTTCGAAGGGGGAAAAGGTCAATATCAACTGAAAATACTACTTTCTCTGCACTTTGCTTGTTCAAGGTGTCAGGCGTTGGTGCTTTCACAGAAAGATTGCGATTGCAATCCGAGGAAGGGTGGAAACTGCAACTACCCAAATATGGGCAGTGCTAACCCAATTCGGGGATGAGAATTACTTTCTGTTTCATTTTTCACCCACAAAAATGAGTGGATTTTAACCACTGCTTGGCTAAACCAGATTAGAAAGTAATTTAAATCACCCAAATTGGATTGAAACAACCTAAACCATTGGGTAGTTATGGTTTTCACCCTCCCTTGGGTTAAAATTTAACCCAGGCCATTTTTCAGTATTGATGTAACAGTATGCCTCATTATAACGTATATAGGCCTAAAATCATGGTCTTCTAGTCACGAACTCTTAATGATTCTTAAGGCATGACCAACTGCATAATGACAAGTTTCACCGACGAAATGATACAGCAAAAAAGTTGATCGATTGGGTCACGAAAATAGGAAAGAAGAGTTCTTTCGGGCTCAATTTAGGGAAGAATCAATTTTAGGCATACAGAAGTATCTGGACGCCAACCTGGTCAGAAAAGCACCTGGATGGCTTGCACACTACTGTGAATATTAAATCTTGTATGCACATACAAACGTCCATTAAGCCTTCGAGGTTGACGTCCCCTTCTTTTGCAAAATATAAATGTGAGAAGCAGGATTTTTATCAGTTTGTAATTCAGCTCCTTAAACGTTTTGAAAAGTAATTGCAGCATAATTAATAATGATTACATCTGTTTAAAATTGTGCTATGAATTCACCAGAAGGTATCAGACTTTTTTCAGCGAGGGGCAAGAAAGTCGCTCTCTTCTCTCATAGGAGTAAACTGCCACCACATCGTGGTTAGTTTGCACATTGGCATATTATGTATGTATTTTTTCGGCTTTTTTTGTCATGTTCAGTGTTCAGCCTCTTAATGTCTTTTTTAAAATCTCTATGCAGTGTTTTGTTTGACATGGCTAACTCAAGTTGAATTCATTGGGATTATGTTTATTTATTTAAAAGAGCAAATTAATTATGATGTTTAAATCTTCAATGATTGGTGGCTGGAAGGTCCTGAAACTGTTGGATTTATTTTGGATAAATTTTAGGAAAATAATTTATGGAACACGCGGTCGCAGACATTGCCACTCATTGATCCGTTTAGACCTAACCTCGTCATTAGTGACTGGTCAACCTTTCACCCTGTACCCTTTGCTTGTAACGGCTGCATCCAGCCTTTCGCTCAAAGCTTCGTGACGGAAGTGTCTCGCTAGCAAACACCAAGAACAAATATACCACTGTTGCTAATTGCCGACTATCTTTGCTCACATTGGCCCAAGTTGACATTTCACGGAAAAGTTAATGGTGGGGTAAATTTGGACAAGGGTAAGGACCTAACAAGTAACTTTCCAAGTATGTACCTTGTTCAAACAGGTTCAGGCAAGTGGTCAAAGTAGCCACATATCATGGAAGTGGTCTCCAACGGTAGTAAAGTCAGCCACCGTGATTTGGCATAAAGGACTATAAAGCGAAGTATGTTATAGATCTTACCGCAGAAAACAGAGGGGAAAATGTCCACCTGAGCAGCTACAAGTCACAAACACCAACACTGGTTTTCACTCTATTGAAATCATTTTACAAACGAAATAAACAAACTTTATACCAATTGAATTGAATTCTTTTGTCTAACGTGGATCTTTCATTTTCGTGTCCCCAACAGAAGCACTGAGAAAATTCATGGTTCTGAACACACTGCGCCTTTTCTCGTGTTTTTTCCCTCGAGCTTTCTAAGCAAACATTTCAGAAATTAGAAAAACACAACTCCTGACTTCAACCCGCACGGGCGAAAGCAGCCCACCAACGCGACCAGCTTTTAGTTGCTATTTCCCAAATTTGACTATAGGTGGCGTTTTTTGCGTTGATGTTATCAGGGTACAGTCCACTAATTCAAGCCCCTTTGAAAACAGAATCACCATTCTTCAGAGCTCAATAACATGCAAGCCAACACCCCTGAGGTGTCTCACACAAAATTTAATTATTATTCCGTCATTAATCTTTCAGTTTCTTTTCAATTTTTTTTTGGGGGGGAGGTTAACCAATTACATTTTTAATTATTCACCTAAAACAAAACCAACCCCAAAAGTCGAAGTTCCGACGTCAAAACCTTCTACTTTCTGGGTCCTTTGGAAACATTTTTTAGCCCTTCTGCCGTTAGATGGAAGCTCAAAGAACCGGGGACTTGATCCTTGCAAAGATTTATACAATCCCACCATGGGGGGGGGGACAACCCCCTTTTCGAAAGATACAGGGGGCGGGGGGACTGTTAATGCTAACATATGCAGCAAGGTATGAGACGGAGAGAACCCCACCTGCTTTGTGTTGGTCATTGTCTCGCAGGAATTTGGGGAATTCGTTTCAGACATCTTGGGGGATGTGTTAAGTAACAATAGTCTGGAATGTGTATAGGGATTGGACATGTTGGGGGGGTTACCCCTCGGTCTCATTTCTTGCTGGGTATAAATGCTAATGAGCTTGATTTAGTGGACTGCACCCATCAGCAGCATGCAGAACAGTTCCTGACCTCCAACTGCTTGATGTCCAGTTCGCAAGGAACTTGCCGAGTTGAGGGGTCCAGTCCACTAATTCAAGCCCCATTGAAAACAGTGTAAAATCAGCACCGTTCAGGGCCGAATAGCATGCACGCCAACATCCCTGAGATTTCTGAAACACAAATGAAATTCTTGTCTGGTCACTTATC